GGTAATACTCATAGAAAGACTTTCATATAATTGGCTATTTAAACCAATTTGATTTTACATTTTTTATACAGTTTAAAGTACTTTTTTAAAAAAATAAACCTACAAAGAATAAATAAAAGAAAATAATCAAAATTCTCTTATTTTAGAGAAGTTAGCATGATAATTACCTATTTTTCAGAAGTCGTTATTATGCTAACTTTTCTAAAACAAAAAGGGATTTTGATTATTTTAATAGTGGAGTCCTATAAAATTTTTTACATTTTTTTTATTTATTTGTAATTTGATTATTTTTTTCTAAAAAAAAGCACTTTAAACTGTATAAATAATATAAAATTAAATTGATTTAAACAGCCAATCATATAAAAATCTTTCTACCAGGTGTTTGATAAATCCCTATACAGGATCTTTTTTATATCTCCGCTCGTATTAGTTTTTCTTTTATAAAAAGATTATAACGATTACTAATTATTACGTATTTTGGATATACTATAGTATAATAGAATTTATTATTTTTTAATGATTAAAAAAAAGGTCCTGTTTAGGGCTTATCAAACACCCGGTATGAGACTGATACTGATTATGTATTTCCGTTATCACTCAATTCACTAATACCCAACGACCCAAGATATTATTAAATGTTAGATTAAAATGAAATCAGATTAAAATGAAACAGGGGACTTCTTTTGCTCACCTTTAAAGCTTATAAAACCCATATATACTCTTTTATTAATAACCTAACTCTAAACCCTAACCTTAATGCTAAAAAAACCCAAAAATGTCTCCTAAAAAAAATTTAAATTTTCTTTAAAAAATAGAAAATTTTCATTTTAATCCGATTTCATTTTAATCTGTTACATTAATTAATCCCTGATCTAAAATACGTTATTAGCTCGTATATTAAAATTTACATAATATGATATTAAGAATTTTAAACATACTGGTACTAAGAAAAAAACCCTATCTCGATCTCGATCCCCATTTTACTTTATCTATTTCGTATGATGGTATTTAAAGATTCTCTATAATGGTTTAAATTTTGACTTTACCAAATGCAAAGTTGAAATTTTTTTTAGCCGTTAAAAATGGTTTTTTTTAAGTAAAAAATCCATCAATATAAACTTTAAATCCTACCCCTTACCCGGGTTGTTATTAAATGGTAATATCCCGTCTGTACACGTAAATTTTATTCTGAAAACATCATGTAAGAGTTGAGCCAGGGTATTAATAAAACATATACAGCAATATATTTTTGTTAAACTAAAATCAAATACATTTTAATTCAAATTTGCAGTTCAACTTCTGGCTTGAATTTAGTTTTAAGAAAATAAATTTAAAAGCAATTGATATAGAACAAAATATAAAATATTATTTTATTTACAAAAATACAGTAATTTATTTATAAATTAATTTACAGTAACTTCTTACTTTTAATGCAACTTTTAATTTTTGTAAGCAAGTTATTAAAAGTTTAATAATAAAAATTATCTTTTGTATACAGTAAACTACTATATAATATTGTATTAAGAACTATAGATTTAAAACTAATATATATTTACAAAGTTTGTTAAAGTACTAATAAATTATTTTTTAATAATTAAAGATAAGGTTTATAAGCAATTTAAGCTTTGTTTTTATAGAATAAAATTAAATATTACTTAATATACTGTAATTTTTATTTTCAAATTTAAAAAAAAAATTATTAAAAAATTTTATTTTTAAAAAAATAAATCAAAAGCAAATGTATAATAAAATTTAAAAACAAATTTGTCTCTAATTGACCAACAAAAAGATAATATTAAAAAAAACACAAACTATTATTATCGCAAAATTATGTTTATAACTATTTTTAACAAAAAAAAATTCATGTAAAATTTTACTATATATTATGTTCTACCAAACTTTAACCATAATAATAATTCTGATTTGAACTATCTAAATTTTTAATTTTGAAAAGTTTTTGTTTAGAATTACAGAAATAAATAAAATAAAAAAAAACTCTAAGAACTATAATAAAATAAAATAAACTAAAAGTACAATTACAATAATAAACACCAATCTTTAAATAATTAAAATAGTATAAAAGCATAAAAAATTTACATAATAATACTGCAGTATACTGTATAAAATAGTCTTAAAGATATCATTAATTAGTATTCTCAAATGACCGGGTTATTAGCATTTTGAAATAAATTTTGAGTCATTTAAAGTTGTTTGAACTTACAAACTCAAGCATTAAATTAATTAATTTATTTATAAAATTTTTTATACAATATTAATGGTTACCTGATTTAATAAAACAAATTTTAGTCATTTGGTCATCTAGTCATTTAAAAGTCATTTGAAAACACTGTTATAAATCAATTGATTATAGAGTAAGATTACTTTTACCGTTAACAGCAGCATGATCTTTTGCCAGGTTTACATAGCGTTTTAAGAATTTGTATCAACACCAATATTGCACCAACGCCAATGCAACCCCAACCTCCATAATACAATGCCTGATATATAAGTTTCTGGCATATAGCTTTACATTGAGAACTACCATCGTTGGCAGCTTTATTAACTGCATCAGTGGCATTGCCTGGAACCGCGGACGTTGTGGAATTTGTTGAATTGGTGACTTGACTGGGATCACAAGACTGACCACATACAGAGGGGAGCGTTCTGGCATAAAAAAACATTCCAATACCAACAATGATAAAAAATATACCAATAGCAAGCATAAGTATGGTGCACGTGCATTGTAAGCATCCGCAGAGTGAACAACTACAACATCTGTCCTCCTTTTGCAAAAGTCGATCACCTTTATTTCCGCCAACATAAGTTGGAGCCTGAACTGCAGGTTGTAAGGATGATGAATTATTTTGAGGATCAGAATTAGTGTTTTGAGGGGAATAGTTTTTTGGAGGACGTGGTGCATTTGAATTAGATGATGTATTTGAAGGCGGTGAATATTTTGAAGGCGGTGAATAATTTTTTGGAGGGCGAGGACTATTATTATCTTGAG